TTTTTTTTTTTTTTTTTTTTTTTTTTTTTTTTGATATGATTTTGTCTGGTTTTGGTAGGGTAATACTGACTTCATAGGATGACTGTGGAAGTCTCCCCACTTCCTCTAATTGTTGGAATAGTTTGAGTAGGACTGGTATTCATTCTTTAAAGGTTGGGTAGAATTCATCAGTGAAGCCATCAGTTCTCAGGCTTTTATTTATTGGTAGACTTGTTATTGCAGCTTCAATCTCATTGCTTGTTATTAGTCTGTTCAGGTTTTGGATTCCTTTCTGGTTCAAACTAGATAAGTTGTATGTGTCTAGGAAATCATCGATTTCTCCTAAATTTTCCATTTCATTAACATAGTTGCTCCTCATAGCCACTAATGATCCTTTGAATTTCTGTAGTATCAGTTGTAATGTCTCCTTTTTCACTTCTGATTTTATTGTATCTTCTCTACTTTTTCTTAGTTTGGCTAAACGTTTGTAAATTTTGCTTAACTTTTCAAAAAAGTAAATTTTTGTTTCCTAGATCTTTTGTATTGTTTTCTTCATTTAATTTCATTCATTTCTACTCTGATCTTTATTATCAATTTTATTCTACTAATTTTCATTTTGGTTTGTACTTGCTTTTCTAGTCCTTTAAGATGAATTGCCAGATTATTTATTTCAAAGTTTTCCTCTTTTTGATGTAGACACTTGTAGATACACACTCCCCTCTTAGGACTGCTTTTGCTGTATCACATAAGTTTTGGTATGTTGTGTTTCCATTTATTTGTTTTAACACATTTTTCAATTTCCTTCTTAATTTCTTCATTGACCACTGGTCATTTAGAAGCACATTTTTAAATTTCCATGTACCTATGAAGTTTCCCAAATTCCTCGTTATTAATAACTAGTTTTATTTCATTGTGGTCAGAGAAAATGTTTGATATTATTTCAATTTGTTGAGACTTGGTTTGTGATGTAACTCATGGTCTACCCTTGAGAATATTCCATGTGCTGAGAAAAAGAGTGTGTATTCTGCAGCCACTGGATGATAAGTTCTGTAAATATCTATTAGATCCATTTGGTCTACAGTTTAGATTAAGTCTGATTATGTTTTGTTGACTTTCTGTCTGGAAAAATCTATCCACTGCTGGAATTGGGGTGTTGAAGTCTCTAGCTATTATTGTATTGAGGTCTATCTCTCTCTTTAGCACTAATAATATTTGCTTTATATACCTGGATGCTCCATTGTTGGGTCCATATATGCTTTAAATTGTTACATCATCTTGTTGATTTGACCTCTTTATCATTTTATAGTGATCTGGATTTCTTTTTATAGTTTAATATGGAAATCTATTTTGTCTGATATGATTATAGCTATTCCTGCTTTTTTTTTTGTTTGGTTTCTATTGGCATTGAATATCTTTTGCCATCTCATCATTTTCAGATTGTGTGTCTTTATAAGTAATGTGTGTTTCATGTAGGCAACTGATCAATGGGTCTTCTTTTTTCATCCAATCAGCTACTCTATGTGTTTTGATGGAGGAGTTTATTCCATTTACATTTGATGTTATTATTGATAAACAAGAACTCACTCATGCCAGTTTGCTATTTGTTTTCTGGTTGTCCTGTGATCTTCACTTTCTTCTTTCTTTTCTTGCTATGTTTCTTTACTGAAGGTGACTTTCTCTGGTATTATAACTTATTTATTTATTTTTATTTTTTATGTATCTGTATGTTTTTTGGCTTGAGGTTTACCCAAGTTTTAAAGCTTGCAAAACTATCTTATAAGCCATTATTCTAACCTGATAACTACATATTAGTGTTTGCATTAAAAAAAAAAGCAAAAAGAAAATTAATAGAAAGTCTAAGAACTTTGTCCCCCTGCTTTTTAACTTTTTAGAACTCATATATTTTTTATTATGCTTTAAGTTCTGTGGTATGTGTGCAGAACGTGCAGATTTGTTACATAGGCATACTCGTGTCAGGGTGGTTTGCTGCATCCATCACTCCATCATCTACATTAGGTATTTCCTAATGTACAATGGTATCCTTCCCCTATCCCCCCAGCCCCTGCTATCCCTCCCCTAGCCCTCCATCCCCCAACAGGCCCCAGTGTGTGATGTTCCCCTCCCTGTGTCCATGTGTTCTCATTGTTCAATACCCACTTATGAGTGAGAACATGTGGTGTTTGGTTTTCTATACTTGTGTCAGTTTGCTGAGAATGATGGTTTCCAGCTTTTAACATCTTACTGTTTCTACTAATATCTTATTGTACTATGTCTTAAAAAGTTGTTGCAGTTATTATTTTTTATTGATTCATCATTTAGTCTCTCTACTTAAGATATGAGTAGTTTACATACCACAACATGTTATAATAGTCTCTTTTTCTGTATACTTACTATTACCAGTGAGTTTTGTACCTTCAGGTGATTACTTATTGCTTATTAACATCTTTTTCTTACTAGTTGAAGTACTCCCTTTAGCATTTCTTGTAGGATAGGTCTGTTATTGGTGAGATCCCTTAGCTTTTATTTGTCTGGGAAAGTCTTTATTTCCCCTTCAAGTTTGAAGGATATTTTCACCAGATATACTATTCTAAATAACATTTCCTTTATTCTTAACATCTGAAGCATACTGTTTAGTTACCCTGTTTCCCAAAAGAACACATCCTCTGTGACCAGTTAACTAAGAAATTATTTCCTTGGCAGCAAACCCAGCATTCCATTGCTTACTCTTGTAAATAGCAAGAAAGTAATTTATTAGTAGAGTTTGATAGAAAAATTCTTTAATCAAAACAAGTTTAAATGTCGAAACTTATGGCCTAACTAGAATAAATCTAAGTTAAAACTGTATAAGGACCAAACAAATAATGACTGGTATATATGCAGGTTCTCTCAAAACAGTGATTCCTAGTTCCACTGTAAGACCTCTTAAAAACAAAAGTTCAATTCTGTAGATGAAAACAGTTATCCCAGAGGGTTAAGCATACATATCATAAACAGATGCTGGTCTTAAACCATTTATTCCATCTGCATATAGTTTCAAAACATGAGAAGTAGCCTACTTATTGAAAAATGCCAAATGACCTAATATTCAAAATATTTTCAAAATGCTATCCTTTACTTAACATACTCTTAAATTTTGTTCACCCTGATTTAGTCCATACATGTCAATGTACAGACTATCAAAGTACTATGTTGAAACAACTAATGTTTGTATTATTGGAATCTAGAAATGAAAATAAAACTTCCAATAGAGCCATGCTTTCAAATAGGTAAGTTTCCTTATATAGCATTTATTGTATTTATTATATAAGCATCATGGATTTTTTTCTTCCAATTAAGAACGATTTAGTGACTTCTTAAAGACATTTTTAACAACATAGAAACTTGAGACATTCTCAAAAATAAACTTGTTTAGTTTTCAGTTTTAGTTACTAGTGCCTGCCTGTAAAAGGACCTTAAATGATTTAACCCTAAAGCCAGATTCATTCCTATATATACCCAGTCTGTTATATGCAGAGAAGTCATAAGACTTCACTGAATGCCCAGCCACAAAACAAAATTACCTTCACATATTAACATAAGTTTTATAAGTTGTAGAATTCTCAATCAATTCAATGTCGGTTAACCAGTTGTCATATCAAAGGAAAAAAACAAACAAAAAAAAAACATACAGGCCACACATTGTTCCAAAGCAGCCAGATAATGTAGCACAATGTAGACTGTGAAATTAAATTAACTTTTGATGAAAGGGGAGTACTTTTATAGAAGTAATATTTTATCTACCATAAAAATGCTCAACTTCTACAAAACCCACAAACACTGAAAAGATAGTCTGGTAAATCCAAGGTTTCTAAAAACTATGCAGAAAACCCCATGGTATTTGGGAAAGGGGGAAAGGTTTATACAAGTAGCAGTTTTAAAAATGTAACTTTGTTCTACTAATGATTACACAATAAAATACACACACTAATTGAAAATATGCTACAACCATGTCTGGAAAAGCAGTTTAACATTTTTTAAATGGATTTTACCTCATATTTACTGTATAATGTAGCTGTTAATACTGCACAAGGACACTTAGAGATAATGTTTAATTACTTTAAAACAAAGATAAAGCGATTTTCTCCCTCAAAACAAGTTTTCAACATCAAAATCTGCTTATAAAAATTTAAAACTTCCATCAGTCTATTTTAAATGAAAACTATTACAAACTTCTCAAGTGTTATCTGTATTCCAGATATGTCAACTTAGTTATCTAGTGTAGAATCCTTCAGAGATATTTCAGTCTCTCTCTCTTCACTGGATGGCTTTTTCTTCATGCTGGCTTCATGGTTTTCTTAGCTCTCTTCATTGCTCTCCCCATTATGTTGTGGCTGGTTACCGTCTTGAGCATCAGATTCCCCATTTAGAGTCTTTGACCCTGTTTGTTCCCTTTCTAGCTTTTTGTTTGGCCCTTTCTTCCCTTGATCTTTGGTTTTATTCACTTCCTCATGCTGTTGTTGCTCAGCAAGAGATTTATTCAGCACTCGTGTGATCACAGAATCGCCTTCACCAACCAAAAACATGTTTCTTAAACTTGTTATACAACATTGTAGACTTTTCCATGATAACATAACTTTGAATCGCTGTATTTTTTTCAGTGTAGTAATCATCTCTGTGTGTTTCTGAGCTTGTTGCATTGTGACCTGAGGTGAAGCAAGTTAATTGAAGGTCTCAATGCATCTGTACTCATCAAGATTATCAATTTTGACTGAATTTTTAATCTCAGCATGTACCCTTTGAAGTCAAGAATCCATTGAAGTTTCTCACTTCTTCTCCACTTTCTTAACTTCTGGCTTCTTTCCTTCATCTTTATTCCACTGCTCAGTTTCCATTTGTTCCTCTTGCTTGCATTTTCGATCTGCTGCTTCTGTCTCATGTTGGCCTTTCAGCACATTCCTTCTGTGAATAGTCTGAAAGTTCCTCCCATCTTTTCTCTTCTTTTCACCTTCTAGATCACATCCTTCTTCTTCAGAATCAGAGGTTGATGTAACTCCTGTTTTAGCTAAATTTTTCCTTTTTAATTCAACTTCTTTCTTCCCCTCTTTTTTGTCTGGCTCTTTTCTTGGCTTATCTTCTTCCTTCTGGCCCTCTTCCTCCTTCTTAAGCTGCTTTTTAGGTTGTTTTTCCTCTTGACCCTTTTTCTTTTGTCCTCTTCAATAACGATGTCACTCTCTGAAGGACAGAACTGTTTAACCACTTTGGGTCTGCCTCTTGGTTTTGGAATCTTGACTGCTGTAGCTGCAGGTCGTCCTCTTTTAGGACTCACTTTTAGATTAACAGATGCTGTTGCTGTTGTCACTACTCCTGCCTTCTCAGTTTCTACTTGTTTTTCTGTCTTTCTCTCTCCTTTGGCAGTTTTTGGAGTAGTTATGTCAACTGTTTTAGTCACATCCTCATAGCTGACCTTTACTTCATGGTATCTTCCTTTGAAACACTTGCTTCCTTTTCTTCAACTTCAACATCAGATGATGCATTTGATTGTTTAGTTGCTGCCTGTTGACTTGAAAATTTCACTTTCGGATTGTTATCTATCGCCCATAAATCTTCATTAAAACATTTTATTTTATTTGGTTTGTCATACTTTTCCTTATTTTCGAAGTAAGGAAATATATCCTTTGGTCCTAAAAAAGCAGTCTCATGGGTTCCAAAAAAGAAAATGGGTAGTTTTTGTAGGTAGCTTTATAGCTCCATCATAAACTTCATCTACTCAAGCTGGTCAATGGGAATAACTTTTCATCTTGGCGAAGATAAGGTCTCCAGATTTGAAATCACGAGTCATGTGACGAGCAGCTGGGGGTCCAAAGCCCGGGAGTTGGTGTGGAGATGCGGCGGCATGGGGATGCGGGCGGTGGACTCAAGCTGTGCTCCCGGGCCAATGGGTGGGGGAGGATGCCTTGGGGCTTCTGGACACACCTGCTGGGGCCATGGATTCCAAGGTTGTGGTTACTCACTGGACGCCTATACCCACATCCACGCAAGCCACTTGTGCCATGAGCTGCCACAGAGGCGTCTCAATGGCTCCAAATCGCAACCGCTGCCACCGCTGCCACCACCGTAGTTGCACTGCTCAAAAGTCTTTATTTCTCCTTCACGTTTGAAGGATATTTTCACCAGAGATACTATTATAGAGTGAGAGTTTTATTTTTGTTTTTTTGTTTTTCTTTAGCACTTCTAATATATCATGCCCTCTCTCCTAGCCTGTAAGGTTTCTACTGAAATATCTACTGCCAGATATTTGGACATTCCACTGTATGTTAATTGTTTCTTTTCTCTTGCCGCTTTTAGAATTTTTTCTTTATCCTAGACCTTTGGGAGTTGGATTATTAAATGCCTTGAGGTAGTCTTCTTTCAGTTAAATCTGCTTAGTGATCTATAAACTTCCTGTAATATCTTTTTTCTAGGTTTGGGATTTCTCTCTTATTATCTCTGAATAAACTTTCTACCCCTATCTCTCTTTTTCTCTACTTCTTATTTAAGGTCAATAACTCTTAGATTTGCCCCTTTGAGGATATTTTCTAGATTCTATAAATGTGCTTCATTGATTTTATTCTTTTTTCTTTTGTTTCCTTTAACTGTATTTTCAAAAAGTCTGTCTTCAAGTTCATTACTCTTTTTTCTGTTTGGTAAATTATGCTGTTGAGAGACTCTATGCAGTCTTCAGTATGTCAACTGAATTTTTCAGCTCCAGAATTTCTGCTTAATTTTTTAAAATTATTTTAATCTCTTTGTTAACTATATATGAGAGAAATCTGAATTCCAACTCTGTGTTATCTTGAATTTTTCTATGAGTTTCCTCAACACAGTTATTTTGAATTATCTGTCTGAAAGTTCATATATCTCTTTATTGGGATTAGCCCCTGGTGGCTTAATTAGTTCAACTGGTGAGGTAATGTTTTCCTGAGTAGTGTTGATGCTAGTATATTTTCTTTGGTTTTTGGATATTGAAGAGCTAAGGATTTATTGTAGTCTTCACTGTATAAGCTTGTTTGTACTTTTCCTTCTTGGGAAGGATTTTCAGATATTTGAAAGTATTTACATGTTATGTTCTAATCTGTATCTGCTTTTGTGGGTAACCCCAGCCCAGTAACGCAGTGGTTCTTGCAGACTTATAGAGGTAATGCCTTGATAACCTTGGACAAAATTCAGAAAAATTCTTTGGATTACCAGGCATATGCTTGCACTCTTCCCTTACTTTCTCCGATGCAGAGTCTTTTTCTGCACTCTGAGCAACCTATAGTAGGGGTGGAATAACATAAGCACCCCTGTGGCCACCACCACTATGACTGCTGGGTCAGATCTGAATCCAGTACAGCACTAGGTCTTGCCCAAGGCCTGATGTAACCACTCCTTGGCTACTGCCTATGTTCGCTCCAGGCCTTGGGTCTCCTTAATCAGAAGGTGGCAAAGCAAGCCAGGCCAGGACTGTATTTTTTCCTTCAGGGCAGTGAGGTCCCTCTGGTCCCAGGTGGGTCCAGAGGTGCCATCCCAGTGTTAGAGACTGAAGTTAAAAACCTTACAAGTCTACCTAGTGTTCTCTTGTACTGCCACTCAGTTGGAACTCAAACCACATGACACAATCATTATGTAAAGTGAAATAAGCCAGGTGCAGAAAGAGAAACATCACGTTTTCACTCATTTGTGGAGTCTACAATTGAACTTGTGGAGATAGAGAGAAGAAGGATGGTTACCAGAGACTGAGAAGGGTAGTGGGGGGCTTTGGGGAAAATGGGGATAACTAATGGGTACAAAAATTAGAAAGAAAGAATGAATGAGATCTAATATTTGAAAGCAAAAAAATGGTGGCTATAGCAAATAATAATTTATTAGTACATTTTAAATTAACTTAAAAAGTATAATTGGATTGTTTTAACACAAAGGATAAATGCTTGAGGGTATGGATGATCCATTTTCTACAATGTGATTGCTATGTGTTACATGCCTATATCAAAATGTCTCATGTATCCAATTACTATATACACCTGCCATGTACCCAAAAAATTAAAACAAAAGAAAATTCCTCAAGAGAGCTGTCTGTTCTCCCTGTCTCCATACCATGTATTGTTACTCTCCTGAACACACTTCTATCACTTTGATTTCAAGCCTCCACTGAAATCTCTCTCACTAAGATGACTGATAATCTCCATATTGCCAAAACCTATATTCAATTCTCAAACTACATCTAGCTTGATCTCTCAGCAACATTTGTGACAATTGGTTATTCCCTCATTCTGGAAACATCTACTTCACTCGGATTTCATGACAATAATTTGTTCTTATGTTCCTCCTACCTTACCAGCTACTCATTCTCATCTCTTTCATTAGATTCTTTTACTTCCTGAACTATAAATGTTGGAATGTTCCAGAGCTGGTCCTAGGACTTATTCTCTTCTCTATCTATACTAATTCACTAAGTCATCGTACTGAGTCTCATAACTGTATTTACAATTTATAATCTGATGACTTCCAAAGTTATATCTCCATCCTTGAAATACATATTGGTAAATCCAACTTTGTATTAGACATTATTACTCACATATCTAAAATGTAACAAACTCTTAATTCCCAGCCCTAATCCCACCAAACTTGGTTTTCCTCCATTGTTTCCCTTCTCGGTAGATGGCGCCACCACTAACTTTGTTGCTTAGAATAAAATCCTTGAAACAACCATTGAATCTTTCTCTCACATCCAAATGCAATCCATCACCAAATCTTGTTAGTTTTACCATTAAAATATGTCCAGAATCTCTGGAACAAGATGGTGTGCTTTTCCATGCTGCCATCCTCTAAATTCAACTAAAAACTCTAAAAATTACTGAACAGAAATAATAAAAGGATTCTAAAATATGGTAAGAAAGTGTATGAATTAGCAACCAAAAGATTTGAGGAGTAAGAGTGCTATGAGTTCCCTGAGTTTTCTTTTTACTTCCTAAATATCCCAAAATAGGCATTGGGGAGACCTGCAATACAGAACTGCCAACAGGCATAAACAAGAACGAAAACAACAAAAACAAAAACAAATTTAACCCTGCTTTCTCTGGCCTACGTTCTGGTAAAAAGCCCAACAGGGACCTTAGTGGAGAGCCTCAACTCCTGTTCTACAAACAAAGTTCCTGGAGATAACCCGATTTGCACAGGGAGGCAGCTGCAAAGGTCCTGGAAGATCCAACTTCCACCCAAAACAAGAAAATCAGCATGTGAGCTGATCTGCTCACATAAGTAGCTTCCAAACCCTGATGTGCCATCTTAAGTCCTGATCCACAACTAGAACACTGAAAGCTCACTGATAGTAGCAGAGAAGCTCCAGCAGTTCAACTCAAGCCTGGCTCAACATCTGTGGCACTTGCAGGCTGGTTTACTTGCAGTGGAAGCAGAGAATGGCTGGTCCCACCGAATTTCCATTCCAAACCCAGGAGGACACCACCATTTCCTAGTCCTCTATTGACTGGCACAAGAAGACCCAGTCCCAGTGGCTTCTGCCTCAAACTCTGCAGGATAAGGTGGCTCAATTATACCAGGTGGCCCAGGAGAGTACTCTGTGCCATGGCAGATGACACTAATAGGGAATGAATGGGAGCTGCAGCATCAGAAGGACAAAACACATCATAATGGCATTAAAATGGCTCTGAAAACAAACTTGTCATTAGTTTAAACTCCACGATAGTAGGCCAGAACCTATATTCTAAACCTAAAAAGGATCATTGCTTGCTAAAACAGAAGATTTAAACAGGATCAAGAGATTCCTAAATAGTAACCAAAATATCCATGATGAAATGGAAAATCACTCCTTATGCAAAGAACTAGGAAAACGACAATTTGACAGATAAAATATAATTAACTGACACTAATACCAAGATTACCCTGAGGTTGGAGTCATCTGATAAAGGTGCTAAAACTGCTGTCATAAAAGCTGCTTCAACAAGTAGTTAAAAATATTTTTAAACAAAGGCAAACAAAGATATAGGATATATTTTTTAAAAAAGAATCAAATGTAAATTATAGAATTAAAAAATACAACAGCCAAAATAAAATTAAAAACTCACCAGATGGATTCAATACTAGATTAGAGGTGAGAAACAACAGAATCAGTTAAGTTAAAGATATAACAACAAAACTTACTCAATCCAAACAAAGAGAAAATAGTATTAAAAAAAAAAGAGAGAGAGAGAGAGAGAGAGAGAGCCTCAGGGATCTGTGGAACAATAACAAAAGATAGGACAACTAAATGTTATACAGAATCCCCGTTGGAGATGAGAAAGAATGTGTGGCTGAAATAGTATTTGAATAATAACAAGAAACAGAGGCAAAAATCCAGGCATGGTAGCTCATTCCTGTAATCCCAGTGCTTTGGAAGACTGAGGTGGAAGGATTGTTTGCAGCCAGGAGTTCAAGACCAGCCTGGGTAACATGGTGAGATCTGATCTCTACAACAATAAAACAAAAAGCCAGGTATGGTGGCACATGCCTGTAGTCTTAGCTACAGGGTCACTTGAGCCCAGGAGTTCAGGGCTGCAATGAACTGATTGCACCAGTGAACTCCAGCAGCCTAGGTAATAGAGCAAGACCCTGTCTCCAAAAAAAAATAATAATAAATAAATAAATGAAGGAAGAAGAAAGAGAAGAAACAAAAGAAAACGAATAATAAAATAGACTGGTAATGTCAGCAAGATGGCAGAAAAATAGAAAATCAGAGAACTTCCTTCCCCCAAGGGGCACCAATTCAACAAGCAGAAATACACAGATCAACTCCCTTAAAGAGAAATTCAGAAACTAGTTAAAAGGCTCCTGCATCACAGACAAGCTAAAAACCAGCCACACTGAAGCTGGTAGGAAAATTCATGGTACTCACTTGCCATGGTCTCTCTGCCCAACTCAGCATAGCATGATCAGAAGAAAACTCCCAATTCTTGGCTTCTTCCTAGAGAGGAAAAGAAGAAGGCTGAAACATATGTCCAACGTGAAGATTTTTTGGGAGGAAAGCTGAGGAAATAATTTCTGTCTTTCCTGTATCTGGGAACTCATGAAAAAGTGTGGTAGGTTTAAGGTTACTGAGAACAAGGGTGAAAGTTTAGACAAAAAGCACTCACTCACCATAATCCCTCCTCCCAGCTTGGCATAGAATGAGAGAGTGAAAACTCCTAAGTCTCTGCTTCTCTCTAGGAAGGGAAAAGATTGTGGCCTGTGTCCCACATTCTGTCTTCTTGGGGGAACTGCTCGAGAAATAGGTTTGTGTCTCATCTGTCTCAGAAAGCTGACAGGGCTGTCATACTCTAGATGTCTGAGGAATGCTGAAAACAAAAGAGATGTGTGCGATTTGCTGCTACTCCACAGGACATGCAGTAGAGAAGACGGAGGCAAACATAGTTCAAAGGTTTCTCCATCTGGGAGGGGAGATAGAAGAGTAAAGTGTGTGTTCAATTGTTATAGCTTTTTGGGGTCTGACCAAGAAACTTGTTTTACTTTAAAACAGACTTTAATCTATTTTACTAGATTAAAAACACTGATACAGTTCAGTACACTCTAGAAGCTTCGGGGACACTAAGAACTAAAGGGAGATGTGAACTAGCAAATCTCTTTAATTAAAAATTTGCATACACAAATCCAGAGAAGAAATATACACAGAAAATATCTAAGAGGAACTCAGAATCTCTAATTAGGCTGATTTGTGAATGTCTTTCCTTGTACAAAGCCAATCTATAAAGACTTGGAGAAATGGCCATTTTCTTAAATGCATGGATCCAACACAAAGGTACAAAGCAAACAAAGAAACAAGGAAATGGCACAAAGCCAAAACAACAAAATAAGTTTCCAGGAACTGACCCTGAAGTAAAGGAGGTATATGAATTATCTGACAAATAATTCAAATATCCATCATAAAGATGCTCACCAAGCTCAGAAAAATATAATACATGAATAAAATGAAAACTACAAATCGATTTAAAACATAAAAAGAGGGATGATGGTCCAGAAGATGGACGTTTAGGAACAGCTCAGGATTGCAGCTCCCAGTGAAAGCGCAGAGGGTGAGTGGACGCCGCGTTTTTATTGCCCACAGACTAGGAAATTCCCGGGCGGAGGTGCTCCATGGTCGCAGCGCGGCTGTTTCGGCCAGCGCGGCTGTGCCGGTCAACGCCGCTGCTTTGCCCCGCGCGGCTGCTTTGTCCGCGCCCTGGAGCCGCGGTTCTCCGTACAAAATACACCGGTCCGGGGGCCCTTTAGGCTGGCAATTGGAGCCACGGGAAGTCACCCACACGCTGGTTAAAAAAGGGGACTGAGCAGAGAACCAGGACAGTAGATTCCAGGGCAAAAAAAAAGAAAAAAAAGCGCCACAAACCTCAGTGCCGCTGTTTAAGCCAGCGCAGTGAGTGGCCGCAGGGGAAAACAAACAGACCCCGGCACCTCTTCAACAGGCGACTGGAACACCAACTTAAAAAAGGCTCTGAGGCAGGGAGCCTGGCGATCAGGCTCGGCTGGTCCCACCCCCACAAAAGAACAGGAACCAGAAACTCTGGATTGAGAGTCTCACAGCAAGCGCAGCTGAACCCGGGAGGGTCCAGCTCTGTGGGGGAGGGGCGTCCGACATTACCGAGGCAGCCTGCTGTTGCCAAGGCAACCCGCCATTGCTGAGGCAGCCCGCCGTTGCCAAGGCAACCTGCCACAGCAGAGACTCCACCCCAACAGAGGCGGGCCACCATCGCCAAAGCAGTTCTAACTGCACCCATATAAACAGGACTGCAGGGAAGTTCACTCGGCAGCGGGGCGGAGCCGACAGCAGCTCAGCAAAGCTGCTATAGGCCGACAGTGACTAGGCTGCCTCCTTGCTGGGCTGGGCAGGTCTGAAGGGAAAAAAAAAAAAAAAGAAGGCGGCAGCATAACGGAAACTCATAAATAAAGCCCTAAATCCCTGGGACAGAGCA